TCCAGGCAGAGCTGGGAGCCAGGACTCATGGGTTCTCTCCCTGGCTTGGGGGGGAGCCAGGGTTATAGAATCATAGAGTATCAGGATTGGCAGGGACCTCAGGAGGGATCTACTCCAACCCCCTGCTCAAAGCAGGACCAATCCCCAGACAGATTTTTACCCCAGATCCCTAAATGGCCCCCTCAAGGATTGAACTCACCACCCTGGGGTGAGCTGGCCACTGCTCTGTTCTCTGCTCTCTTACAGCGCTTCTAGCTACCTTAAATCTGTGTTTTAGCCTTCGAGGGAATTCCACCTTCAATTGCACGCTGTTCCCACTGGGCCCTTACACCGGTGAGCTGGCCCCTGGGGTAATACCCCGTGAAAACTTTCAGCTGTGTGTGCACCTTTTGGTGATCTTCCCCCTGAACCCCCTGGGCTATGTGCCAGCTAGGAATCCCACCTTCAGCCAGTGCTGCCCCGCTGGGAAAACCCCCTTCAAGCCACGATTCTCCTAGAACTGCAGTTAGAATTGACTTTACAAATTCGATTTCCTACACCCCATTGCGGGGCGATTGGGGGGGGGGGGCAGAACATGCTGAACGGATGAATAACACACAATTACATGGGAGAAAAATCCACCTTCCATCAATAACCCATCTCCGTTCCACCTTCAGTCACCACAGTGCTCTGGGGAAGGAAATCCAACCTAATGTAAAGACCCATGTCCATTAAGTGGGAGGTGGGATCCACCGTGATTCAGCAAGCCTGTGGGCAGGGGGAGACTCCACCTTTAATCCACAATCCACGGCAGGTCGGGACGATTCCACCTTAAATCCTCGTGGTGGGGAGGGAGAGTTCCGTGAAATCCACGACTGCAGGACACAGGGAAAGGGACTAGTCCACGTTAAATCCACGATTGGAGGGGGAGAGGGAGGATTCCACGTTAAATCCACGATTGGAGGGGGGAGAGGGACGATGCCACCTTAAATCCACAAGCCGTGTCCTACCCCGGTGCGGGGTCAGTCTCACCGACCATGGGGCAGCCCCCACCCTGCCCAGTGGCTGGGCCACGCCCCCTGGCCTCACGCCTCCAGCGGATGGGGGACCACGAAGGTGCTGTAGGCCCCGCCCAGCAGGGCCTCCACGTCGCTGCCCTTCACCAGCCAGCAGGGGGCCTGGTGGGCCGGCAGGGGCGAGTCCTTCAGCAGCTTGGTGACGCGCGTGGCCGGGACCGTGGCCCCCCCCCTTTGCAGCCGGGCGGGCCGCTCCCCGGCGCCCGGCTGCAGTCGGATGTCAGCGTTCTGGAACTGACCTGCAGGGGGCGAGAGGGGACATGGGGTGAATGGTGGGAGCCCCGCTGGCGGCAGGACCAGGGGGGAGGGGAGAGGGCCCAGAGCCCCTTACCCAGCAGCCCGTGGGCCTGGGCCGAGAGCCCGCTGCCGTCCAGCACGTAGAAGCCCAGGTGGTCTCTCTGCAGGGGGCTGGGGTGGCTGTACCGATGGCGCTGGACCACGAACTCCAGCCCGGCGCCCAGCTGCAGCGTCATGTTGGTGCCCGGCCCCACCCGCACGCCCAGGCCGGGGCGGCTGACCCAGGCCGGGCGGCCGAAGGGCAGATCCAGGGCCCCCTCCCCCTGTAGCGCCACGCCCCAGAGCGTCACGGTGATCACATAGCGGAGCCGGGGAGGCCCCACCCGCACCGTGATGGCGTCTAAGTAGGTGCGTGGCCGATCCGCCGAGCCCGACCGTGGCGGGGCGCCAACCAGGTGGCCGTGGACTGACAGCCCTGGGGGAGAGAGCACAGGCCATGCCGCCGTCACTGAGTAGTCAGGGATCCCCGTCTCCTCCCCAACACTCGACCCACGGTACCCATGGCACCACAGCTGCTCCGGGATCTTCGCCACTGGAGCAGCGGAGAGAACCCAGGAGTCCTGGCCCCCAGACCCCACTCCCCTCCCAGAGCCGGGGAGAACCTCAGAGTCCAGGCTCCCAACCCCCCTATGCTAACCACTAGACCCCACTCCCCTCCCAGAGCCAGGGCGAGAACCCAGGAGTCCTGGCCTCCAGCCCCCCCTGCTCTAACCACTAGACCCCACTCCCCTCCCAGAGCCGGGGAGAACCCAGGCGTCCTGGGGCGCTGAGATGCGGGGTGGGGGTCTCACCGCTGGGGGGGTCAGTCACCAGCTGGAGCACGTCTCCTGGGTGCCCATCCAGGGTAAAGCACAGGATCTCAGGGGAGCCAGGCAGTCGTGCCACGAAGTGAGGGTCTCCGTCCACTGCAAGGCAGAGCAAGGGGTGGAATAAGGGGGGGGGGAGAGCAGGCTGTATTCCCCCCCCCATCACCTGAGTGTCTGCGCAGCCTTACCTGAGGAGGAGAAAGTGAAGAACTTGGCACTAGCCAAGTCTGCCACGCCAGCTGGGGGTGGGGGGAGAGAAGAGAGGGTTATAGCCAGTTGGGTGATGGAGCATTCCCCGCCCCCCCCCCCCATCCTCTTCTCTCTCCAGAGCACCATGGGCACGGCTGGCCAGGCTGGCGCAGCCCAGAGTGACCACAACGGGCAGCGGCTGAGAGCCCACAGGAAACTGCCGAGTCTCCCCCCTGCCCTCACCCAGGCCCAGATCTGAAACATACCTGTGTCGCCGTCCTGTTCCTCTAACAAGTCTGGAAGGGAAAGGCAGAATCAGGGTGGGCGCGCAAGGCCGACTGGCAGTCAATGGTGAAGCTGGCTCGCTTAGTGTGAGGGGGCTGGATGCCAGCACCGTGCCCCCCCCCCACCCCTGGCTCCAGGCCACTCATGGTGGCTGCAGGATGTCAGCGATCAGTTTAAAAAAAGATGAAGTTTCTAGCTCTCACGGTTGGGGAGAAAAGGTGGAAAATGGGATCAGTGCCTGCCTGAGTCTGCAGAGAGCCTGAGCCAATTGCTCAGTGATGTGCTGGAGGGTTGGGGCGTCATGTCAGAGCCCCAGCCCTTAATCCCTGCCTTGCCCCTTCAGGCTTCCGTGCAGTTGTGTCTGGCAGGGAAAAGGACCTGCCCAATTGGTTTGAGCATTGGCCTGCTAAACCCAGGATTGTGAGTTCAATCCATTTAGGGATCTGGGGCAAAAATCTTTCTGGGGATTGGTCCTGCCTTGAGCAGGGGGTTGGACTAGATCCCGCCTGAGGTCCCTTCCAACCCTGATATTCTAGGATTCTAATTCTCAGCAGGTCTTGCTCCCAGGCCCCAGGAACTACAACTCCCAGAATTCCTGGTCTTAAAGAGCTAGGCTGAGCGGGATTTCCCTTAAAGGGCCAGTGCGCCGGTAACCCATCCCCACCAACCTGCCTGGCTAGCCCACCCAGGGGAGGGCGCGTGGGCCTGGGTGTGGGGTTACCTGAGTAGTCTTCATAATCCAGGACACCTGTAGGGAGAGAGAGACAGAATAAACATCCATGCAATTGGGGAGAGGGGGGGAGATTCCTGGGCTTTGGGGGGAATCCCGGCGAGTGGGGCAGGGATAGCATGGGGAGCAGGGGAGGGATCCCGGCCACGGGAGAGGTGGGCGGCGTGGAGAGCACGCATGGCTTGGGGAGCACGGGCTGGGGGGAGGGATCAGAGAGGGATCCCAGCGGGTGGGGCGGGGGCAGCGTGGGGAGCACAGGCCGGGGGGGGAGTCGGGGAGGGATCCTGGCAGTGGGGCAGGGATAGCATGGGGAGCAGGGGAGGGATCCCGGCCACGGGAGAGGTGGGCGGCGTGGAGAGCACGCATGGTTTGGGGAGCACGGGCTGGGGGGAGGGATCAGAGAGGGATCCTGGCAGTGGGGCAGGGATAGCATGGGGAGCAGGGGAGGGATCCCGGCCACGGGAGAGGTGGGCGGCGTGGAGAGCACGCATGGCTTGGGGAGCACGGGCTGGTGGACATCGGGGGGGCTCGTGTCCATGGGGCAGGCGGGAGGGGACGGGATCCCCACCCTTCTCTCCTTTGGCCGCCACAAAGCTGTACACGGCCGGCGGGTGGAGGGACTCCACGAATTCCTCAGCCACGTCCTTTGCTGACAGCAGCTCTGACTCTGCCGGCAGCAGAAGCAGCCACTGGCTGAGGTCGGCAGCAGGTGGGATGGAGCCCGTGGCGCCCGGCGTGCCGCGGGGGCCCTTGGACTCTGCCCTTGGGGTGGTGGCATTGGGCCCCGGGCTGGTGGCAGCCGTGCTGTTGCCAGTCCAGGTGTCTGTGACAGTCCGGGCCGGGGGAGCTGCTGTTCCCCACGAGAAGGGGGCCCTCTCTGTTCTGGGATGTGGCTGGCGCTTGGTGGCCGGCTGCAGGGGCATCTCCTGCTGGCTGGAGGGGGGTGCCGTAGCTGACCCTGGGCTCGGCGGCGGATGAGCCGTGGCCCTGGGGTTCCCAGCTTGGGGTGCTCTTCCGGGTGTGGCTCTGGCTGCTTTGGTGACACCGTGGGCCGTGGGAGGAGCTGGCGATGCCGTGGCGGTGCCAGGTGCCGGCATGGCTCGGGCTAGTTTGGAGGGGCCCTGGGACGTGGCAGATGCTCCTGGGACGGGCGTGGCTCTGGCTAGGTTGGGGAGGGCTGCAGCAGCTTTGGTGGCACCGTCAGGGAGCGAGGTGGATGTGGCCCCCGGAGCAAGCGTGACTCTGGAAGCTTTGGTGGCACGATGGGCCACGGTGGTGGTCAGGGGTGTGGCAGGAGCCCCTGGCGTGGCCCGAGCCGTGGTACTCTCCTCCTCCTCCGGCTTGACCACCACCAGCGAGGTGACGGGCGTGACGAAGTTATACTTCAGTGAGAGGTTGGTGGCCTTTTCGGTGAGCAGACGGCGCGCGGCGGTGTCGTTGGAGTGGAACCGGGCCCGGAGCAGCTCCTGGATGGTGAAGTAGGCCCAGAGGCGCTGGACGAATCGCCCGATCTGCCCCAGATCCGGAGAGCAGCCAAACGGGGCGGCCTCCGTGGCGTTGGCCGAGATATCGTTCTCCAGCCTCAGCTGCCCGGCATGCCCGTGGCCCGCGGCCTCGACGTGCAGCTCGGTGGCCCCCGGGGCCAGCCGCCCGGCCACCACCAGCTCGGCGCCCTGGAAGTAGTGGGGGAAGAGGGTGCGGGTGAGGTCGGCGCCGTCGCGGTAGGACAAGGCCACATCGTATAGCAGCGGGCTGGCGATCTCGTCATAAAAGCCAGCGAGCTGCAGGGTGGCGTCAGCGTCCTCGTAGATACGCCGGGCCACGCCCCGGTTCTCAAGAGCCAGGCGCCGCAGCAGACCGTAGTCGGCGTCGTCCCCGAAGGCCAGGCCGAACAGCGAGACGGAGCCGCCCAGGGCCTGCCGGGCGTTGGCCAGGATGCGAGTGCCTGAGGTCACGCCCGCCGTGGGCTCCCCGTCCGTCAGGAAGATGAGCAGTGGGATCCGCCTGGGGGACGGCTCCGGCGTGCTCTGGGTCAGCACCGAGGCCGCCTCCAGCAGGGCTTTGTTGATGTCGGTCCCTGAGGAGGGGAAAGGCAGAAGAATCCTGATTTGCAGCCTTCCATTGAACCCCCCTCCCAGAGCCGGGGAGAGAACCCAGGAGTCCTGGCTCCCAACCCCCCCGCTCTACCACTA